TATCTTAAGAAAGATCCCAAGAAATGACAAGATTTAAGTACTTAAGAGTTCCTTTGTTGTTTTATTCCTTCACAATTTCACACACACATACAATGAACTTGGACCATATTTCCCCCACTACCCTCTCCATCTCTTCCACTGAATCCCTCTTTTTTCCAAATGCTCCCTGTTTACTTTTACATTTGTGTGTGTGTGTGTGTGTGTGTACCCCCTACTGCACTTAACTAAGGTTGCTAGCATGAGTAGGGGGAGATTTTGTTTGTCTGACATAGGTCATCACTAGCCTAACAGGCTTCAGACCTGTGACAATCTTCCCGACCTAGCCTTTAAGTGATGGGATTACAGGTGTGCATAACTCTACCAGGCTTGGTTTCTTTAAAATATCCTCATATGCTCATCCTCCAGCACTGTATAAGACAGAACGCAGCAGTCCCACTGTACCCCTTGTGGAGCAGCACACCAGTGACTGCCTAAGGATGTCAATGTTTCTTAGAAAAGGCTGTGTTTAAAAAAGAAAGAAAGAAAGAAAGGAAGGAAGGAAGGAAGGAAGGAAGGAAGGAAGGAAGGAAGGAAGGAAGGAAGAAAGAAAGAAAGAAAGAAAGAAAAAGAAAAGAAAGGCTGCGCTTGAGACAGGCTGGCCTAACTCAATATGTAGCTGACAAGGATCCTGAATTTCCGGTCCTCCTCCTCCGCTTCCATTTCCTAAGTACTGGGAATACAGGTATTCAACACCACCCCCCGCTTACTGGCCTTTTTTCTTTCTTTAAAGAAAATTATTTTCTTGTGTGTATGTACGCGCACACATGTGCGGGGGGGGGGGGGGGGAGAGGAGGAGATTGAGAACAATCCCTCGGAACTGGAGTTAGAGGAAGTTGTGAGCCATTACGTGGGTGCTGGGACTCAAACCTAGGTCCCTGAAAGAGCATGTACTCTTAACTACTAAGCCATCTCTCCAGTTCCTTAATTTCTTCTCTTAACAAAACAGTAATATTCTTTTATGGAGGGCAGGAGGAACTAGGGACAACGTCTCTCTCTATAGTCTAGGCAGACCCTGATCTCACAGTTAGCTTCCTGCTTCAAACTCCCAAGGGCTAGGTTACTGAAGTGAGGGAAGATAAGCATTCTTTATGATGCTTATTTTGCCTCATACAGGAATCAAGGAATAAACGTACAAAGTAAGCTTCCTTGCTTGTCAGGCCTGATGACATACTCATGTCATCCCAATGCCTGAGCAGCTGAGGTAGGAAGATCACTATAAATTCTATGTCAACCAAAACTATCCAGGGGATTACAACCATCAGCTACAGTATGAGACCCTGCTGCAATAATAAGCAAACAAATCAAGTGTTTTCCCTGTGCTAGATAGAGTGGCACATGCTCATAGTCTTAGTGACTGAGGCGCTGAATGAAGCAGAATTATGGGTTCTGGTCAAGCTACACAGCAAAATTACACACCAAATTTGAAAGAGATCACTTTTTCTCCCCCATCTCTAGTTAGGTTAGGATCCACTTTAATCAATGTCAATTTTTCTTTATTTAAAAGGAAAAAAAGGCAGAAGCAGGTGGACTCAGTGAATTCCAAGCCAGCCTGGTCTATATAGTGAGTTCTAGGGCAGCCAGGGATATTCAGGGAATCCCTGTCTCAAAAATAAACAAACAAAAATAAGTAAGAACAAAGTAAAATGTTATGTATGTATATAATGTCTATGAGCAAACTCATTACTTTGTATATTTAAAGATATACATAAGGCCCGATTTGGTGGAGTAAGTCTTTAGTCCCAGCACTTAGGAGGCAGAGGCAGGAAGATCTCTCTGAAATTCGAAGCCAGCCTGGTTTATATGGTAAGTTTTTGACAGCTAGGACTACCTAATGAGAGACCCTGTTTCACAAAACCAAAAACCTCAAACAAAAAATCATACACACATGAAATAAAACAAGATAAAAATAAACAAACAAATAAATCCCAACATCTGGGAACCTGAAGCAGGAAGATTACTGTGAATTCAACTCACTCTGAGAGCCACAGAATGAAACTTTATCTCACCAAACCAAACAAACAAAAATTTTTAAAAAAGGCTTGGACACACATCACATAATCCCAATGTTAACTATGGAGTCACCCGGAACATAACTGCTGGCATCAAAGGAGATTCGGACCAAAGCTGCACTCTCTGAAACTCACATACAACAGCCATTGCTACTTACATGTCACAACTCTAACCACTGCAATTCAAATCAAGAATGAGTCAATTTCCTTTGGTTCCAATACCACATTTTAAGACGAAAATTGCACCATGTAGTGAGAAGTCAGTCTGAGACCAAAGAGGGTTCAGGAAGGGAAGGCCCCCTGCACCTGTGAGACTGTTGGCAGACAGAATGAAAATTCATGCCCTTCACATGGAAGAGGCTGGGTTCAGCCAAAGTTAAGAGCAAACAGGAGAGGAAGGACTCTGAAATAAGAACAGCAGCAAGTAAATTCACAGACAATCTGGTTCTCTACCCCATTCATTTAGGCTGGGAGCGCTGAAGAAGTGGAGGCAGGAGATGAGGAATTCAAGGTCAGTCAAGCAGAGACACAGGAAACCCAGTCTCAACAAACCAGGAAACACACAAGTTACAGTACAGGACCTGGTCCCATCCTCTCATCCAGTCTAGGTTCCTCAATTGGCCCGTGAATGATCCTCAGGCCATGCAGGGCCGCTATTAGTCACCTTTCTCCTGCCTGCGATGCCCAGCACCAGAGATGACAGCTCTGCCACTTCCATGAAACCTGCTCAAAGGCCACCTTGCCAGTGAGATCTGTCTGTCCCAATTCAAGTTCCACCATTCTTTTAATTTCCTCCATAAAGGAAATTAATTTTCTACGCACGCACGAAGAACATGATATGTATCCAGGCTGAACTCAAAAAGATTCACCTGACATTCCAAGTGCTGTGATTAACGGCATTTGCCACCGCCATGCCTAGCTGGTACTCAGATTTTTAGTGATTCCTTAATTTCCATAATTTCTTTGCTAGAATAAAAGACTTGCCTTGTTATTTCTTGCTAAGAACAGCGGCTGGTGCGTATAGACCCTCGGGCCACAAATGGAGAACTCTTCCCTTTGTAAGCTACCCAATCAAACCGTCAACTTCCTTGGAGAAAGGAGGAAATAGGATTTAGTATAATAAAATCGTAAGGACTTAAGGAAGAATATAATAGTGAGGTAAAGTAGGCTGGAAAAGGAAGAGACATAGTTGTGACCTACTCTTTCAGTGTGCCTGCTTGTTCTGAGAGCATGTTCCCAGGCTCACCTCCAGGAAGTTCATTTGGTATCTGGATGTGCGTGCTCGTGGCCCACCCACTGAGGAGCACATCCTCAGTATCTCATTATGTGTCACGTTTGGATCAAGGCAGCTCTTGCCCATGTAGCTCAGAGACATGATGTTAATGGACACCGTGGTACACTGAATAAGCACCAACAGGTCAGACATGAATAAGAGATAATCTTCTGCAAAGGGTGCGTCTCTACAGTCATGAAGATTTCCTGTGGTGCTCAGTGTTATACTCAGGAATGTTGTTACTCCAGTAACTACGTTGGTTCAAGGCCATTAAATAAAGTACACACTAAGTGGGCTTAACCCACAGCAAATTCTGGTTTTGTAATACGGTGTTCACATGGCCTGTTCGTGTTTTCCCTTAAGCTTAGACTTATTCCATATTTCAACCACACAGAAGGCCACATCATAGACAAAATATAAAGCAGAGCTTTTTAACTTCTCTTATATATGAAAACTTTAATCTTGGATAACCAAACAAATTCAGGACCCCTACCACAGAACTAAAGCAGTACAGTCACTTAAATTACACCTAAGAGTAAAGATTGCTTGTATTTGTTAAAACAGTGTTTCTTAAGCCAAGTGTAGAAGCACATGCCTGTAATTCCAACAGCCATGAATCCTTAGTTCAGGACAGTCTGGCTATACAGTGAGACTCAAACATACCAACCAAGTGCATTTGTGGACACTTATATCCCTAACACTTGGGAGACAGATGCAGGAACATCGTAAGCTCAAGGACATCCTTAGCAAGATAGCCATTTCCAGGCTAGCCTAGGCTATGTGAGACCTTGTCTCAAGAAAATGAAAAATTGTTTTTCTTTTTCAGTGTTGGGGATAACCCACAGGACCGATATATAGTAAGTAGGCATTCCACTGTTGAGTTCTCCCCACCGCCCTTGACATTATATCAATAACCCTGAAACAAACAAGTATTCTCCCCCAGTTTATCATTTAATATGGAAGGGCTGTAGAGAGCAGCCTGCTACACAGTGTCAAAGGTGAACTCTCCATATTCTAACCCATAGGCTTCTGCACAAAGCTTTTGTTTTTGAAGATAGAAACAGCTGTCTCCTGCCTCTCCAGGGAAAAAGAGAGCCACTTCTAAAGGCCTCTAGGGAAGATGAGAATGATGTCTTTTTACATTTTTCATATGAACATGTCTCTTAACTCTTATTCCACAGCTTACATGCTCTTTACACATCAGGGCCGGAAGTCACCGGTGCACAGGCAGGTTCACAGACCTGCCTGCAAATGTTCATTTACACTAAGTACTAATGCTGAACAAGAAAAGTTCCCACAGAATTCAGGGAATCTTTAGTGATCACAAACTAACTACAGACCAAGTTATACACTACAGTATATAGTTATAACAATGTCATGAATGACTGATTTATTTGCCTAGCATGTACAAGGTCCTGGGTTCAATCCCAGCACAACCCAAGAAAAAAGTAATTAATAACACCTATCTCCAACTTTGAAAAACTTTTAAAGATGTCTCTCACAAACAGTCTATTACAACAGTATTTTTGCTACAGATAATCAAGAACAACTGAGATGTGTGGGACTCTTCCAAAGGATCAAAAAATAAGAGACCATGCTACCTGACTGCATTTCTTCACAGAAAGGAGGGATGAAGTTCCAAGCTACTGATGACAAATGGGCTTTGTCAGTAAACTTACCTTCTCTCCTTGGAGTGATGGGACTGAGTCCCGCAAACTGTGAAAGCTGTCTTTGATGTGGTCCCTACGTTTTCGTTCCAGTGCATTATGGTGAGCCCGTTTGTCAGCCTAGGGGAATGAAGAAAGAACATGTTAGGAACGCGACTCCTTTTACAGGTGGATGTGGTAAAGCCTGGAAGTGTATGCAGTCAGCGCTGTCCCTGGCAAGTGGACTGGGAAAATTTGCAGAGTGAGGTGGACAGTTAGGAATCTCCAGAATTAGGCTCTGTTAAAGAGGGAGAAAGGGTGAGCAAGGCTTGCAACAGGAACATCCAAAGTAGCACGGTGGATCCAGCTCATGCACAAGTAAAACCAAAGTTATTCAAGGGGACAAAGTGTGACTCTCCTGCAAGTGTCCCCGACCTACGTGATGGAGCAGTTGCCAGCCTGTGGTTGCACTGTAACTAAAGAAAGCTCCAGTGAGCACCTTCATAAGGTATGGTTACTCTACCATGAGATTTGGGGTGGGGGTGCTTCTGTCCACATGAAACCCACCATCCGAAGGCTCTGCTCTGACACCTCCCCGCTAAAGGTCACCATCACATCCTCTCATCCAAGCCTCTAGAAACCCCGTTGCGTCGGAGGTTATTATGACACTGCTGACACGTGTACGAACTGCATTCGGGTTTCCTCTCACACAGGCTGAGTCAAAGAGGTGCTTCTTGGGTTAGCAGACCTCCAGACAGCTACATGCTCTCGGTCAATCCCCTCAGGCACTTGCAGCAGGTCAGGCCCATCTGGCACTTTCCTAAACACCCTAACCAGCCTTTAGCCCTTCCTGCTTGGAACTATGAGCAGACAGCTGGCGAGGCTCAGGAAGGGGGAGGCAGCAGAGCCGAGTGCTAGGGAGCACAGCCGCGGAGTTTCGTCTCCCTCTACACAATCACACCTCTACTTCAGGAACTACAGAAATCCTCTTCTGAGCATTTACCCTGAATAAAGCAGGCTGTGCTGAGCCTGTACATTAGAAAGTGACCTGGCTAGTAAGGCCAGACAGAGTGCCAGGAATTTTGAAAATGCAACAACATGCATAAACTTGGTTTAACAATGCCACTTCCAATGAATCCTTGTACAAGAAAAAATGGGCAGATAGAAATCAGACAAGAGCCATGAGAAGAAAAGGACTGGAAATTTTTCTGCTATCAAATTCTAGAAGTCTGTGACTCCCCCCCAAAGGAAGTGCCTGGAGCCCCTGTGGACAGTGTTCCTGATTCCTCAGGGGTCTCATCTACAGTTCTGTTAAATCCACGTCCCCATCGCAAGCACAGGCCCGAAGGTGGAGCACAAGCTGGGAGGATTTCTAAAATCACTCCTTCTTAAACCTCAGTTCACTGTAAAGCCAAGCAGTTTCTCAACTAGTTAGATAGCAAACAGAATGAGGAACCTGAAAAGACAAGTAAGCTTGGAAAACCAGGTAACTTGAGAATAGAGGTGTATCTCTGCATTAGACAACACTAGGGCACGGTAACCCAGCTGCCCTCTAAGAGCAATTTAAGTTAGCTTGAAGGAATTACACATCAAAGCCCAGGGAAACTGGCCTGCCACAATACCTGAGGACGCAAGAGATCTAGGACCAACATGTGCATGCACTAGCCCTCTGGTGTTTGCTCTATCATTTCCAAGATGGTCTGTTCACATGCAAACCAATCGCTCAGCTTTGGTCTTCAGCAGCAGCCCCAGATACGCCTGTCCACTAAGTCACCCTGACTCCTGGCCCTCCTCCCAGCTTACAAGCTGTGCACGGAAGCAGTGACACCAGTTACCCATAATGCCTCTCGATACGAATAGAATCCTAATTGTCTGCTTTCTTTCTGGGAGAACCCTGAAAATCTCAAGTAGTTAGAACTAAGCTGGACTTGGTTTCCTGTGGGCCTGCGCTGTAAGCAAGGAACTAAGTTTAACCTAACACCACCATCACCCCAAGATGTACCACCCTTCCCATTTGCCCAGCACTGAAAGGATTCAGATGGACAACAAGTCTTTTGGTTGGAGGACTGTAGTGAACTTGGCTGTAGACCATGAGTAGAAATCTCGGCTTCTCATCTGGGGAGTCAGCCAAGTTAGAAGTTGGCTCGGCTAGGAAAGGCAGCAGGCCACTGCCTGGTAGAAAGCCTAGGCTGGGGACTGTTGTTCTCCAAGCAGTGGATGGAATTTCTGTGGTAGTTCCAGACCCAATTTAACTAGCAGAACGGTGGAATCTTAGACCAGTCCCTCATGCCATGTCTACCCCTCAGCTGTTCTGCCTGAACAGAGAGAGCAGCAAGGATGTATTTGTTTTTCCTCATTTGCAAGCACAGTGAAAACCATGCGGAACTCACATGCCTAATTCCAGGCAACTCTGAGTTAAGTGGCATTTCTGGTGCTTACAGAGCATAGGAAAACTTGACACACCTTCACACAAGGCTGAGAGTTCTCTCTGGAAAGTATTTCTAAGCTGCAGATGAAGATACCCCCTAGCCTTGCATGATGGATCGAGACCAGCGGGCAGCTAAGACTGCCGTGTTAGCTATCTTTTCTTGTGATAGCTCTTCCCCAAAGGGCCAAGACTTCAGTACTGAGAAAGAAAAACCAGGTGACGACTCACAGCTAAGGTGCTAGAGATCCTCCCATGAACTGTCTTTTTAAAGCAGCATAGCAATTAGAACAGTAGAATAAACTAAGCAACTCAGATGAGTGCACTCTCTCACCAGGACTGAGAAGTGCCTGGTCATGCAAACACTGGGACCAGCAGCACACTTGTGGAATAAGGAGATGACAGAGGTCTTGTTGGGCTATGCCACAGGTTCCTAAATGACTCCTCTAGGAGCAGAAGCAATGGCTGGTGGCTGGCCACTGCTTACTCTTCAACATAGGAGCTGTGGTATCTGTCAGAAAGCCCTTTATCAGGGTGTCCCAGACTAAAGCAAGTACTAGGGTCTTTGTGATACCAGAGGTACCCACTGGTGCTCACCAGGAACTACAGCACCAAACTACATCTGGTTTTGAGGTCTATGCCAAGGTTTTTACTTAGTCTCAGTTTTAGTTGCACCAAACTTTTCCACACTGGCAGACAGAAACAAAATCTTCACCTATAATTTGTCCATCTCTCACACTAACAAGCATATGGATCTGAGCGCTGCTCAATGTTGAAAGCAAGCATTTTCTTAGTTGCTAAACTGGCAGGACATAGGAGTTATGAAAACCAGTTCAGAATTGAGGAAGTCTCTCAAGAGTTTTTCCTTTCAACTTAGTGCACACAGAATGCATCTTCATTCACAGCATCTCACTAGTCAACAAACTTGTTTCCTGCAAGACCTAGTGTGAGAAGAGAACTGTCTTCCTGTAAAAGGATGCACAAGCCCCCCCTCCAGAACATTTCTTGCAAGCTGCCTGATAACCTACTTAACTTTCACATAGAGGGAATCTCCTTAATGCCAACGTAGAAAACCCTCCAGTCAGAAGAAACCTGTCATCCTTAGTCTATTTAGTTTAAGAAATGGAAAGGCTGAACTTTAGGAGTTACTTATGAGTATCCAGTTAGTCTTACTTAAACACCAAAGACACTGGAAAATACAAAGGCTCCAAATTCTCATACAGTGTATTTACTACTTAAGATTGATAAGAAGAATTGGATCAAATACAACAATTTCCGAGCAACTTAAAAGTGCTCATTTTAACCAACACAAAAACTGCAACATCAAACAACTGGCAACTGAGATGAGCTAACCTTACTAGTCTCCTGCAGGCAGGCAGTTACTAACTACAGTTTCTTCCCCAGCTCTTCCGCTTGAAGCCCATGCCGGTGTACACTTCTGTGATCTACAATAAATATACTTGTTTTTGAGGTTTCTCCCATCTTTTGGCGCCTAAAGGAATTTGGGAACACTACAACCCACACATGCCATTACACTAGTCATTTAAGAGGAAGGATTTCTTGGTTAGGACATCAAATTGAAGTCGGACTTGACAGCACACACCTGTAATCCCCACACTTGAGAGGCTGAGGCAAGAGAATTACTGCAGGTTGCCTACACAGCAACCCCATCATAACCCTCCTTGCCCCCAAATGAAGATCAAACAGGATTCTTTGATCAGCTCTTTTATCCTATCAGCCTAAAACAACACAACTCTTAGAAACTCAACACCACTTTTCCTTTTACAGGCACACACAGGAAGGAAGCCTACTGCTTCTGGCATCTGAGCAGAAACAAATATGCATCTTGCCGCACTCCTGCCAAGCAGCTGATCCAGGTAAGGCATGCAAGCTTCCTCAACTCCAGCCTCCAAAGTGGGCAACTCCCTTCCTCCCAAGTACACTTCAATCTCTAAAGAGGCAAAGAGCTGAGAAGTTAAAAATACTTTAAACCAAAGGTCTAGAAGGGGAACAGCACAAACCTATTTTAAACCAGCTACAATACTAGCCGCCTAGCATCGTAACTGCACATGCTGAGTCCATCAGACTTGGAGGACAATACATGGAGAAAGCCCTCAGGGGTCTTGAACAACTCAGTAATCCTACAATTCACATATACTTTCACTCTTTCCCAAACAGAAATAAAGCAAAAGGAACCTCTTGCATAAAATAACCAAAATACAACTTATTCCCTTAAAAAAAAAGTACACCAAAAAAAAAAGTACACCAGTTAGATTAGATTCTGCAATTGTCAAATTCAGTAGTGCTCATGGTTATTTCCTCTGAGAGCTCACTGCTCACTGGAGAGGCCATTTCCGGGTGGCAGTCAAATCAGTTTCACTTTCTGTTAGTCTCCTTCCTAGTAGTGAGCTGAACGGCCTACCATCTCATGAGGCTTGAGATACTACAGTGATATTACAAACTATGACCATCGTTTCACGTTAGGACCCACAGGACATTTTCCAAATAACTTGCCTGTGTGTGTGTGTGTGTCTCAGGGTTCTCACTCTGTAACTCAGCTCAAACTCACCAATCTTCCTGTTGCAACATTCTGAGTGCTGGGATTACAGGTGTGAACCTGGGTTCCAAATAACTTTTTAAAAGTTATGCAGTCCTAAACCATTGTTCTGAGTACACATCTTTTCTTTTGATCTTAGTATTTTTCCAAAGACAAAACTTAATAGTGTTCCCCATTTAAAAAAATGTATTTATTATTTACACTAAATTTCAATAAGCATATAGATATATTCACAAGGACAGGGGAAGGATCCATGTTTTCATCCCATTCGTGATAGCTCTTCAATACACTGTGTCTATAATATACCTGCTTTTTCTGTCTATGCTATCATGCTAAACATGTACCAGATAAATTTCAGCAAGTATATCAAATTAAAACAATGGGTCTCAAAGTCCTTGGTTCAATCCCCAGCAACAACAAAAAATTCACTGTCTATGTCCCCCAAATGAAGGAAAAAATTCTAAGCACCTTAACAAAAATGAAAAGTAAAAACATCTAGACAAAGCAAGACCAGCCTCACCGGAATGGAAGCATTTAGTAAATTAATTTATATCACCACCCAAGGTGGACACTTTAAAAAGCGTAACCCATAGTAACTCCTCATCATAAAATAGGAAAAGTTATCTCTCACTGAGAAGCAAATCAAGTTCCAACTCAAGGATGGTTCTTCAGAACAAGCCTCACCCTCGACCTCTGACATCACCAACCCTGCAGCAGATCTTCTAACTGGAGACTCGGAGGAAAAGAAATTGCCGGTTCTGTTCATGCTCTGGTAGAATAGGCTCAAATGAAAACCATCAAGTAGATACTATTAAGAGTAACGGTACCCAGGCATGGTGGGGCACACATTTAATCCCAGCACTTGGGAAGCTGAGGTAGGTCGATCTCTGAGTCTGAGGCCATACTGAACTAAAAACTGAAACTCTCTCTCTCAGAACAGTAACAGTAGCTGAAAAACAAAACAAAGAAGAAATACAACTTTCAGTAGAAGTGTGTGTAACACTTCAGAAAGAAAGCAGGTGCTATCTTCAGTGAGATCTCTCCTAACAATCCTGAAGACCTCCGCCATCCTGCACTCACTATCAATTGGTTCTCACTGCTCAGGCAATCTGTCCTGTCTCTGGTGCTCTAATGGGGAGCAGACACAACTGAAGAACCTGTTTTTACCCTGTGATTACTAAAGTCCTACAGCAGAGCTATCAAAGTGGCACCCTGCAAACTTGTTTTTTCAGTACTAGGGATGAACCCAGGGCTTCCTGAAAGTTAAGTGTCCTGCCGAACTAAACTCCCTAGCAAGAGAGACACAAAGGTAGAGAGTTCTTTGTTTGAGACAGAATCTCATTCTGTAGCCCAGGTTGGCCTAAAAACCAGGGCAACTCTTCTGCCAAAGTCACTAGGCTTACAGTACTGGATACAGCCCTGAACTTTGTGTTTTTGCTGTTGTGTGTGGGGTTTTTGTTTGTTATTTTGTTTTGGGGTTTTTTTTTGTGGGAGGGTATGTTGAGGTTTGAACCTTTGATCTTCCTACCTCAGCATCCTGAGTAAGGAAGTTTACAGGTCTGGGAAACCAAGCCTAGCTGCATCCAGCAAATTCTTTTTTTTTTTTTGGTTTTGTTTTGTTTTTCGAGACAGGATTTCACTGAAGTTTTGGAACCTATTCTGGAACTAGATCTTGTAGACCAGGCTGGCCTTGAACTTACAGAGATCCACCTGCCTCTGCCTCCCGAGTGCTGGGATTAAAGGCATGCACCACCACCACCCAAAAAATCCAGCAACTTCTTTACAAGCTTCAAAGAGCTGTTCCACATATCATTTAAAAATCAAATAACTAGGAGCTGAAGAGACAGCTAGGTAAAGGTGCTGGGGCCATACCTGATGAGCCTAAGTTCAGCCCCCATGCCCACATGTTGAGTCCTCTGACCTTCACATGTGAGCCCTGGCATGCATATGACATGATCATATACACACATTAAATAAATGAATGTAATTTTTAAAAATCAATAAGTAGGCTGAGGTCATAGCTCCACACAGAGGGTTTGCCTGGCATACTGAGGGCCCTGAGTTCAACCCCCAGAACAGCCAAAAATTACATGCATACAAATATACAAGAAAAATAATAACTGTTTCTAGCATTTTACCATTTCTCGTCAAGTAGGAAGATCCTGGGAGTATGGCTCAATGTTAAAGGGGCTAACCTGAGCCCTGAAATAACAATCAGAAGATCTGGCAATAGTGAGCCCATTCTCACATAGCAAGCACCAGAGCTAGGCAACTGTCGACTTTCTAGAAGGGGGATACATTCTTCAGTACCCCAGTCCTTACCGCCTCTCTCTGTCCTTGACTATCTCATTACAAACGCATTGTGGCCCTCCCTCTACACCTTCCTTACCATTCCCAACTACCAAATACTTTCTTCTCTGATTTGGATTTTCTCTCCCCCTCATCTCTATCCACTTACTGCTAAGTCTCAGACTCCAAAGACAAGAAAGAAACCGTGGTGTTAGCCCAAATCCACAGAAAGCATTTAACGTCAGGATCCTAAGAAGTCACTGAGCGCTATACAGCAAAGCTGTCTCTTACAATGCCACTGTTCAACAATTTTTTTTCTTCTCAAATGGAAAGTCAGACCACAAAAAGCTGTGACACTTTCAAGATTTAACTTCTGGCTCCTCTCTATTTCCATTTTGTTGTTACTGTTGAGGACACCATGCTTTTCTAGATTTTAAGGGTCTGCGGCAGTCATATGACTTTGGCTAAAGGCGATTATTACTGTGCCTGCAACTTCACACAACTATGCAGATACTGCTTGAAGCTTATTTGTTCCTAAATCAAACCTGATCAGTTTGCTGTGAAATAACCCTACCCTTCGCTTCAGAATGCTCTTTCATTTCTCACATGCCTGGGCTGCATCCCTCACTCAACACTCCAGAAGAGTTCAGGGTGCTCACCCTACCTACTCACTAGCATCTACCACCTGAGAAACCAGAATCATAGGACTGGCAGCGCCCCCCACCTCCAACCACAGCTGACTCCACCTCACCTTAGCGGTTAAGAGGAGAGTTTACAAGAATATTAAAAAGTAAAGAGCGATCTCTTTTTCTCTCTGACTCCAAAAGAGGGCCAAAACTGAACGGAAATGAAAATGAAATGGAGAGTAGGAGACGTACCGCAGATTGAAACCTCGGTTGCTCTTCCTGGAATAAGAGAGAAAAAAAAATAGAAAATATAGAAGTTATTTTTACACTTTGCATTCAATAATAAGAAAGAAAATGCCGGCGGCGGAGGAAGCAGCGGGTGGGGAGGCAGCCTAACACCCCTCCCTCCCTCTTTTCCCTCCACTCTCTCCAGCGTGGTCCCGCAGCCTAGTGGGGGGTCCCAGGCGCCGCCCCTCCTTCTGGGATCCGAACCGGCCAAGAGTGGTCCGGAGCACACTGTCTGCTCTCCCCGAATCCCCCTCGGGCGTCAGAGCACTCCCAGTCCCCTCATCCCCAGGTCACGGGAGGAGGGGGATCGTGGACCCAAGAAGCAGGTCCTGAGCGCTGGTCTCCTTGCCCAGGATCCGGACGGATAATGGGATCCCCAGCCGGGTAGAGTGCAGAGGGAGGCCTCGGCACTCTCCTCCACGGGAGGAGGTGGGGGTCCCAGAGGCCGCGTGTCTGCTCCCACCTTCAGTCCCAGGAGGCCTCTCTGGACAGGACTGAAGGGGAGCGAGCCCGGGGCGCAACGCAGGCGGTCCCGGCCCCAGAGGAAGGGGACGGAGACGGCGGCGACCCGGCCCCCTCCCACCGTCGCCCGGCTGAGAGCCCCTGCCGCTGTCCCCGCCTGACAACCCAAACGGAAAGGAAGAAGCCCCGGGACTCACGTCGCTCTCCACCTCGATGTCATCGTTATCGCTCATTTCCTACGGCCCAGGGAGCGGCCACTGCAGCGGCGGCCGGGGAGGGGAGGGGTGGAGGGAAGGGGGAAGTCACCGACAACAACAAGCCGAGTGCCCCCACGCACACACTCACTCACTCACTCGCTCCCTCACTCACTCACTCACACACACTCACACACACACAACACGGGCGACAACCACCTCACTGCAGCACCGGATCAACGGCGGCACGCACGCCCGGTCGGCCCCCTGACACGTGACCGGGCTCTCCGCGCCGGGGTAGCCGAGACTTGTAGTCCTCGAGCGTCTGATGAGCACGGTGGAGAGCGCCGGGGAAACTACAAATCCCATCAGGAAGCGCACACAATCCTCCCCAGCCCGTCTTGTTGACAGAGCGCAGGGCGCCTGCGCGCCGGGTGGTGGCTGCGAGAAGTGCCACGGTGCCTCCCGGGAGATGTAGTCCACAGACCGCGAGTTGTCAGGAGGTTTTCCTCCCCAGGCGGCAGAGAGGCTGCTGGGAAGACAGGACACGTGGAGGGAGCTGGGCTTAAGGAGCCGGCCACAGTCTGAGCTCTGGGCGCCTGGCCCAAGGGATTGGGTGGAGGCTCTGGGGGAGAAGCTAGCTGCCAAAATAACACTGTCTCTTCTTGGCTAGACTGCTTTTACATTGTCTTGTTTAATGCTTGAGTCGCTCCGCTTGCGCCCTGGGGCGTAACCCTCCCGGGAAGGAATCACGCTGCTGCTGACCAGGGGGCGCGGTCGGGATGCCCACGCGGACCCTCGGGATCTAGTTTTGGGGTGTTAAGAGACGTTACGGGACAAGCTAAAGGGCCGACCTCGCTGGGGTATCCTTAGTCTCAAGAATCTTGCTTTCATTCGTCCGAGAGAACTGAATGTTTACAAAAGCTCACTCAGGTGGAAATAAAACCACCTTCCGTTTGTCGTAGCTTATGCAGATTAAGGAGTGCCCCAGTTCAGAGAACCTTAATTAAGAACTGCAAAAAGAATCAAAACGGAAAAGTTGTGCGACTCCCTATCCAGTTAAAGTCAAATTTATACACCGAGATATGAAATGTTACTACATACACCAGTATTTATCTAGTATGTGGCAGCACAGGGATGCCATGATGTGTATGACTGATCTCGCAGCTTGTGGAAGTGAAAACCAGACTACCCTGTTACCATTTTCAGTGTGCATTAGGTCCTTGATGACCTTTCGTCATCAGAGAAATTAATCAAACTACTGTTTTACAACTGATCTCCAAAATGAATGAGATCTTGAACCTGGTCTGTGAGTTAGTGAATCCTGCATGAAAACCGTTTTATCTCTGACAATTGAGTACAGAAACTTGGTGGTATAACACAGTCCTTGTGACATAGAGCCCAGGCTGTCCTGAAATGGCTGTGTAGCCAAGTCTTGTGTTGAGAAGACAGACATAAGTAGACACTTAACATGATAGGATGTAGAGGGCTCTAAGGGAATCAAAGAAGCTAGAGTAAGCTGGATACCAGAAGGTAAGGCTAATGATGATCACAACAAACAATCCTTAGACAGCCACCTGCAGTGTGTCGAGCATTTTCAGACACCCTTAGCTGCAAGTTAAGATTATTTGGGGACTTAAAAAAATATGTCATGCCTTGCCCATGACCCAGCTCAATTTAAGTCAAAACCTCTGGGAAGAGAGAACGCTTTTAAAGCTCTTCAGGTGATTCTGATGTGAAACGGAGAATATGCCAAGATAAATAATGACAGACTCCCATTGAATTACATACTTTGAAAGAGTAGTCTTTATGACATGTTAATAATTATACTTTAACAAAGCTGCTACAGAAATAATCTTTGCTCACACACCTAAAACCTAATAAAGGAGTAAATTGTAAAAGCACTATAGAGAAGACAGACATGTCAAGTAGACTGTACAGCAGGAGGTAATATGGATTTAGAGAAGACTGTCAGGTTCCAGGTAGGGTGGGGGAGGTATAGATCAGGGACGTCTTAGGGTATCAGTTCCATAGAACAAGGGCTGGGTCTACAAAGAACAAGCTGAATTTTGCTCACCACAAATTTCCACATCTTGGACAAATATGTAGCTAGAAGTTTCTGTCCCACGCACTGAGGCTTATATTATTTAAAACGCTTGGCCAATAGTTCAGGCTTTTATTAACTAGCTCTTACAACTTAAATTAAGTCATTTCTAAATTAAGCCATATTGCTTTTACTTTTATCCCATTTTGTGTGTCTGACTCATTCTGTATCTGGCTAGTGACTCCTCTGACTCCACCCATTTTCATCCCAGCATGCTTAGTTTTGTTGTTCCATCTATACTTCCTGCCCGGCTACTGGCTAATCAACTTTTAATTGTGACAAATCTTCACAGTGTACAAAAATATTATTCTACAGAAGTTTCCACTTTTTGTCTAATTAAAAAGGTAGACTTCAACCTTAACATAGTAAAACTATATATAACAAAAACTGTTACCAAGTAAGAATTACCATTGCAATATCTAGTCCATTTGTATTTGGCAAAAATTAGAGAAAATACTCTATTATCTATCCTATCTTGGTGAGTCCAAAAACTTCATCTCTAGTTTTCCTTTTTATCATAACTAAGGAAAACTATAATTAAAACTAGTTAGCCTTCAACCCCTTCAAAGACCCCAGAGGTTATAATGTTACCTGAGTAAGCAGGGAGTGCATAGGAAACTTCTGAGACTAAGAAATGACAAACAGTTGGCTTCCTGGACAGCCACCCAAGGTTCCTCTGTAATGTTGGGGCATCCATCTTTGGCCTGCAGGCCTAGAATATCTGACAGACTTTTCCGTGAAGCAGGATTTTTGAAAGACTGTCCTACCTTGTCTTGGCAAAGTTTAGCAGATACTTTCTTTTGTATTCTACTTGTTCAATTTGGACAGCATACTGTCAGCAATCAAGATAAGGGCAGTTTCTTGCCCAGTGGCTAACTTTTGCCACAAAGAAAATAAACTTCATATGGAGTTTCTTCAATGCCCATCATCTTCTCTGAAGTAGATTGTGCTGCCAGGAGCAGACCTGTCTCGCTGCCATGAAAAGCCTTAGGTTATTAAACATATTAAATGCCATATTCTGTAGGTTTTTGAAGTGTTTGATCATCTAGCTATCTGTCTAAATATATATGTTTATAACCTTGAAAACATACCTAACATTACTATGTTTGACTATTGTAGATGACTATTTATCTGTATTTTTAATTAAATGTTACATTTTTAAATGAACTGCATAAAAATAATTCCCTAAACAAGAGTAGAAATATACATCCAGTGTAACAAAATTAATTTTAAATTTATATTAATATACCAAAATCCATGTCAGTGTAAAAGATTTTGAGATTAATAGCTGTTTTTTGGATTAAAGTAGATTCAATAATCTACCTTTTTATTTTATCATTTCTCTGTCATATCCCCTTTTTTCCTTTAGAGAGATATTCAAATTTAGTTCTTTTGTTTAGGTTTTTTTTTACTATTAACAATAACAACTTGTAATCAACCTCTCTTAAATGGTAATAAATATCCATAACCCATTTTTTTAGGAATGTGCGTTTCATTCTCTTCTCTCTCACAGCCTATGTATATTTTTAAACACACTGTAACCCACTTAGAATTTTTTTTTGTCTGAATCTATCCTTTACTGAACGTGTATCCTTTTCTGTATGCATGAGCAAAATTTAAACTGCTGTGTCAGCTGCTGGCATTGCTCAGCTTAGTGCATGGCAGTAGTACATGGCAGTTGGGGACAGCTGTTAGAAAATGATGTTCAGTTCTGTAGTTAGTGTGAGAGACTGCAGGGATCCACCACACAGCTTAGTACATGGCCAGCAGGAGAGACTGTGGAAACCTGCCATGCAGCGTAGCTGCCAGGAGGCATGTCTCTGTACTGTGACTGGCATGAGATGGATGAGACTAGGAAGCTGAGTTTGGCTCCATTTTTGTGTGTTTAGAATTTTTTTAAAGCTTCTTTAGATCTTATGTGAATCTACACCCCCACACTGGGTGTCATTTGTAGGCATAGGTTGCTGTCCCGCCAGCCACTCCCAAGTAAATGCACTGAGGCTTAAATTATTTACACAGATTCAACTGATAGCTCAGGCTTATTACTAATTAGCTCTTACAATTTAAATTAACCCATTTCTATTCATCTACATTCTGCCACATTGCTTTTACCTCGAACCCATTTTGTGTGTCTGACTCATTCTGCGTCTGGCTAGTGACTCCTCTGACTCCACCTTTCTTCATCCCAGCATGCTTAGTTTGGTTGTCCTGTCCATACTTTCTGCCTGGCTGGTGGCCAATCAGCTTTTTATTAACCCAATCTGAGCGACAAATCTTCACTGTGTGCTAAAGGATTATTGTTGGGGACTATGGACCCCCAGACCTTAAATTTCCTGTGCTGGAGTAAACAACTTGTTTTTCCTATGCTTGCAGCTGCTCTGAGCATGTGCCTGATGGCTGGGGAGTGGTTTCTGGTGAGCCTGCAGCCAAAAGATCCGGAGAGCTGGGGCTTGGCCAGAGCCCTATATAAGCTGTCCCTGCACACAATAAAAAGGGCATTCTTGGGGAATCAAGGATGGCCCATGTCTCTGTCTCTCTCTCTGCATTTGTGTGTGTGTTTCAATCTCCAGCCCCTTGCCCGTAGTGCAGGCGGTACTGTACAGAACTATACCATAGCACGGAGTGCTCAGAATAGGAACAGGATTTTACAAGTAGAGGCCCTCAGCAAGATTGGGAACTAGGAACATGCTGAGAGATCGCCCTGGGGAATGGTGAGGGTGGATTAAAGATGGGCATATGGTGTATATGTGTTTTTCATCCCCACACTCTTGCCCGATAGAGGTTCTGAGTAGTGCAGGTGCCACAGCAGAAGGCACCACTGAGATGGGGAACTAGATGTCCTCTAAGGGACACACTCCGCTCTGGAAGGCTGGTCAGCAGGAAAGTAATAAAGAGGAGGCGGGAGGGTGAATTGAAGGCCTGGAAAAGAATGGAAGAAAAAGAGTGAGTCTTTAAAAGAGACAGAGTATAGAAGGTCAGATTGAAAGGATTAAGAGTAAGCTGCAAAGAGATGGAATATGTACAGAGAATTTGCATTATGTGTCTATGTGTTTTTTCATCCCTAGAGATGCTCTGAGGGATGCCTTCGGAAGGCTGGCCAACAGCAAAGTAATAAAAGTAATAAAGAGGAGGTGGGAGGGTGAATTGGAGGCCTTGGAAAGATGGAATGTGCATATTGCTGTGTTCTCTTTTGGTTTTTTGACTAGATATTATTATGTTTTCTTTTTTGTCTGGAGAGAGACATTTGAGTCTGGGGACTGCTAAG